CCAAAGCATCGAGGGCTTTCAGAAGCAACCCAGCTACCCCAGAGGGCAATCCCTGTGCCTTTAAAACCATCACACCACCCAAAGCTTCTCTGCTGTGTGCCACAAGTCACTGACCCCCAACCACACGCTACTGACTCCAGTAAACATGATTTAAACATTTACTTTTCCCAGTCTTCTGTGTTTACTTACTTCAGGCAGAAGGACATCTGAAATCAGTTTTATTCCATCCCCACCTATCTGATGCAGGTTTTTAGCATCTGTGCCATGATAAACATCCTTCAAGTAGTTCACAACAAGGTCTAATTGTTCTTCATCCTCTAGATACGTTTCGACGCAGGTCACGTACTGGCTGGAGTTCAGGAATTCCTTCAGCCAACGGGACTGTTTTCTGCTCTTCAGAATTGCCTGAAGATGCTCTTCAGCCCCCTTAGCCTTCACTATGAACTCCACAATCTTTTTATTCTCTCTGTCCCTAGCAGCTCTCGATCTGTCAGGAAGAAGCTTCTTGGAGCGCTTTGGAGGTGAAGCTTCTGATGGAGACTCTTCAACATTTTCCTCTGCCTCGTTTGGAAAGGTCATTTGGACTGAACTTTGATAACCTTCCTTTCTAACAGGGTAGCCTGAAAGAAAAGCCACAATTATTCCTAAGTACACTGAACCAGGAGCTCTCCCACATACACACCTACAGATACAAGGAGAAAATAAGGGACTTTCTTGATAAGAAAAGTTTTTTCTTCCTCCCCACCACCAAAATCTTCACTTTGCCTTAAAAAAAAAAAAAAAGCTTAGGGAGTTGGAACTCTGAAGGAGCCCTGAACTGAACTCTACCCAACGTGAAGCAACCAGTTGCCTGATTGTTTTTAACACTCGATATTTAATTTCTGCTCTGGGGCCAGAAAACATCAGAGTGCATTAATGGCATGTGGTCATTTTAGTGATTCCCTTGACTGGGTGTGATATTAAACTCACACACGTGTGAAAACTGGAGCTGAACTCACCCACCAAGAGAAGAACACACAGGGAACGGATTCACTTACTAATATCAGCAGCAAAATACTCCAAGAAGGATCCCGTAAATGAATGACAACCTAAAAAAAAGCCCAAACCAGGGTGATTCAGCAGTTCAGTGAAGCCCATGAAGCAAAGCTGACAGTTTTGGTGTGATCTTTTTGCCCACGTGTGCCAGACTGGACAGGACCCTCAGAGCCCTCAGCTTACCCACTCGAATCCGATAGTCCGAAATCAGGCGAACGCACCACTCGATCTCCTGGCAGTAATCCTCTTTGGCTCGTTCCTGCAAAACAAGAGCCCTTTACAGCCCTGAAAAGATTGAAGATTTAGGTCCAGGGCACTAACGAGCTAACAAACTGCTAATGAGAACAAATCAAAGCTCACTTGCAGTCTCCTGCAATTCAATGTCTGCCACCGCTTTGTCACAGGGGGTGAGAACAGCTCTGAAGCTCCATTCCAAGGAGCAGCCTCACCAAGATGGGAGGAGCTGCTGGGGGATCCCCTTCCTGTATTATTCTCCGTCTTATGGAGCAGGAATTGCTTTTAATTACTTTGCTGATGGAGCAAGGGGTAAGAAGGGCACGAGGTGGAGCAGACAGGGACACCTCGGGTGTGTGACCATCTTCCCAACACTCTCCCTGGGGGTACTTACTATCAGGTCCTGCTTTTCTTCACAATCAAAGTGCTTCAAACTCTTGAGAGATACTGAGAAACTTGATGAAACAAAGAAATACAGTTAGGGAAGAAAGGCAGTTGTGTCACACCTACTTATTCACTGCCATTATCCACCTCCCTGAAAAGCTGTTTCCTAAGGAATTCAGGAAGGCAGGTTTTATTAGTTTGGGTTTTTTTAATAAGCTAAAACAATGGAATCTTCTAACAAAGGAGGAGCACTTGGTCTTAAAGCTAAAAGGCAGGTTTGAACACAGCATGTAGAAAAGCACCAGCTGGGTGCTCAGCCCTGGTCTGATTCCTCCCCCAAGCACCAGCCCCTCACTGGACACCAGCCCAGCCAGCAGCAGATAAAGCCCCTCACACCACACCCCAAACCCCCACCTTGCTTGGCCCCTCCCTGTGATCAGCTGAGCCAGCAGCAGAACTGCCCCGTGCCAGGAAAAGCACAGGGCCCACCAGGAAAGAAGCCCAGAGTTCAGAACACGAGCAGAACCCACATTTACCCTTTTTTCTTCTCGTTTGTAGTCCCATCTATGAAGAGCACACAGGCCTTCTTGAGCTTCCTCCTCACGCCCTTCACCTGCCAAAGGGATGAAGTCTCATTAGCCTCCTAAAATCCCAGTGCCCTTCCAAAGCAGGGACACCTTCCACCCGTGTTATAAACTTCACCCCACGCTTAAAGTTCAACAAATATGGAAAAAAACTAAATTTAAACCAGCAAGAATAGGAAGTTACCCCAACAGAGCGTTTTTGTCAGCACATAAGGACCCTTCCTACCCTTCTGTCACTTTTGTTAGTGGGGTACCAGACCCCTGCACCCCAGCAGGGCCACGGGGGCTCAGGGAGCAGCCTGCAGCACAGCTCTTACCACCGCTGGCCAGTACGGGTACCGCCGCAGCTTGCACCACACCAGGATCCCTTCTTCAATGGCCTGGGGTTCTGGGGGGAAAAAGAAAGTGGTTTTTCTTCATAAAACCCAAAACAAGACAGTCAGGTCGTCCTCTCACCAGCCTTTTAGGAGTTTTACTCCAATGCTTTTACAGGATCCACTGAGGTCAAAGGGCTCCCAACCCAAAACGCTGCACAGGTAAGTTCTGAGCACAGGGACTGGGAAATTCCCATCCTAGGCCCTTGCCCAGTTTCACAGTAACTTGAATTTCATTCTGCTTCTAAAAGCCTTTCAGGGGCACCCAGGAAATGCACTTGACTCCAAGGTCACACAAAGCTGGTTTCACTTTCTGGAAAGGTTTTGTGGCCAGCCAGCTGGAAGCACAGCAGCCCTGGGTGAGGAAGCCTCACAACAGCTCCACTGATGTCTCACCTTGAGCAGATAAAACACTGGGAAGTTCTTCATCCTCCTCCTCTTCATCTAACAGAGCTGAGAGGCGAGAGGGGCTCTCTGTGGAAGCCACCTTCAGAGACAGGTCAGATGATTCCAGTCCTGCCAACAGCAGCAAGCACCAGAGTTCACCAGCATGGAACAGGGATTAAAGGAGGGTGAGCTCCTGAGCCAGCGAGACACCCGGCTGGGAGTGACCCCAGAGCAGCACCAGCACCCCCAGCACAAGGCTCTGTCACACCACACTAATCCTCTGCCTAGGTAAAGGCCTAATAACCTGAATAAAAAAAGGGAAAGGAACAAGAACAGGCTGGTTTCACAGCTCTGCACCAGCCTGCTCCTTCACTGCCATCACTTCATCTCAACACTGGACATCTAACAGCAAAGAAGCAAAACTGAGTGTGAAATCAGCCAGGCTGCCAGTGACGAGCAGGAATCACTGCCAGAATTTCAGTGCAACCCCCCAGCAGCTCCCCACAGCCTGACCACCACCCCAGCACTCAGCTGGTGTTAGTGACTGCTGTCTGTGCGTCCCCAAAACTTAACCCAGAATTAAACCCAGCAATTTAAGAACCTCATGCACAACAGCAACATTCCACGATGGGTACCAGTGCTGGACAACCAGCTGGGAGGAGGTTTCCCTGCCCCAAACAACATGCCCACCTTCCTCTTCCTCGAAGTCAGGCAGCTGAAACTGCTTCATTTTCCTTGTAAGCACGGCAGGAGGATTCTGATTTTCCTCCTCTTTAGGCTGGGAGGGGAAGCTCTCTGGAAGCCTCACGTGGTCAGAAGGCCCAGATGGAGGCTCAGGCCCACTCCTGCATTTCCTCTTTCTGCTTGAGGACACAGTTCCACCAGACTCTTCCTCCCCATTAATCCGTTTTGGACTCTCTGGCTTTTTCCTTCCATCCAGCTGCTTTGCTGGACTTTTGCTCTCGCTGCTGCCTCTTTTTTCCAAGTCATCTGAGGCACTTTCACATGAGGAATGCAGGAGTGTCCTCCTGGGCTGTCTCCTGGTGCCTCCCCTCCCAACAGAAACGCCCGTGCCAGCCGTGCAGGGGACAGACAGAGGGGACCCCTCCTCAGCTGGGGGCTGCGCTGGATCCCCGGGGGAGTCGCTCCCACGTGGAACAGGGGAGCCCACAGCTCTTGGTCTTTGTCTTCCTTGCTTGCTTTGCTCTTCCTTGGGCTCAAGGGAGACTTTATTTCCTGGGTTGGGCTTTGACAACAGCCTGGGCTTGATTTTGCCCCGCCCCTGTGGTGACTTTGACTCTGCTGGTTTGCAGTTCTGGCTGCCTGGGCTCACAGTGCTGCCAGAGTCCCTGGTGCCACACCTGGAGGGGGTTGTTCTGCTGGGAGGGGTTGTTCTGCTCCCCCCTGGACTGAGGGAGCCCCTCTGGGGTTTGGCTTTTGTAGTGCTCTTCAGACTGGGGCTATTTTTTGGTTCCCTTTTCTTCTTGGAAGTCTCAGGCTCCACCTTCTCTTTAGAGACGGATCTATATCTGCGCCCGGGGGCAGGTGACAGAGACCCCACCTTGTTCTCCTGGGACAGGGGAGAGTTTGGTCCTTCTGAGAGGGGCACTTGTCCAGCTGAGCCATTCTGAGTCAAAATATCCAGGGCAATTTTCAGAGAACGGCGATAATTCAGCTCTTCCACAGCCTCACTTGAATCATTCCTTTGCCCTGGTGAAGAACACACAATGACCTTTATTTGTATGTTAAAAAAAAGATGTTTTACTTATAGTGTTATCTTTTGTTTAAAATGCAACTTAACACTTAAATAATCTGTGATTTTTAAGGCAGAGTTCCTAAAGAGGTAAGTGAACCACACAACATGAGTGAGACACAGAACTCTAGTCCTCCAGGGGGAGGCTTGGTGTGTATTTTACCTTCAGAATCTAGACAAGGCTGCAAATATCCTGACAGCTCCTCACCTAAATTCGAGGCGATGTCTTCTATGCACTCCACTGTCAGTGGCACAGCATCTGCACAGTGCACATGGACCCTGAAAACACAACAGAGCTCCTGAAGACTCACAGTGTCAAACACCACCAGCAGCACCACGCTGCTCTCAGCCACCAATAATCCTCTGGGATTTTCTTCCACAAGCCCCTATGTTTTTTTAGCAGAAATTAAGGGGAGAAAACACCTCCCTGAAGCTCTAAAAAGGCAGCAGGTTTTGCTGGTCATCTAATCCTCCTGGAAATCAGTGACCCCATCTCACAGGTATCTCAACAGTGCACACATCCCACAGCAAGGAGGATACTCAACTGCTCTTTCAAGCCAAGTATTTCAACTTCAAAAGAAGTCTCCTTCCCACGACTAAGAGATGTTTTCCCAGTAGCTCCACTTTTGCACAAAACCTACATTTAAGAGAAAAACAGGGTTTAAAAATCTTTGGCAAAGTCTGAGTACAGGACAGGTGTGAGATCAGAACATTTTTGGTCTGAGCAGGGCAGAACAGACAGATATCCCACAGCACCTGGCTGCAGGATTCAGATCTCTGCAGATCAGCTCTTTTTTAAAGAGAGAACACATCACAGAGTGGTTTGGGTCAGAAGGGACACTGAAGATCATCCAGTTCCAACCCCTCTGCCACATCTGTGGCTACTCAGAGCTCTTATTTATCTGCTACTGTTTTACCCCTTTCCAACTCACACCCATAAACCTTTTGTCCCTTGTGGATCTGCTTTACCTTTGCTGGCCACAGGCGCTTGTTCCACATGCAAAGGAGATACTCCTGGTCTGTCATGATGGTGTGTCACTCAGAAAACAAGTATTCTAGGGTGCTCTGAGAAAAGGGAATACAAGTGATCCAATGCTTAGTCCAGTTTTGTCCACCTTTTAAAGCAAATAGGACTTAAAGAGAACACATCATTACATGTATGTAATAATTGTACCTCTGAGCTCCCTGGACTGACACTACCTTCCACACACCCTCCACAGTGAGCTTCCACAGTGTGTTTTTCTATAGCTGTACAACACAGGAAGGTTTCACTGAAGGTTTTAAGTGTACAAAATACTACCACAAATCAGACTGGCTGCTGTGGCTCTGCAGATTCTGCAGCTCCCTGCCACCAAATCCTGGTAACAGAGGCCACGGGTGACCCCCTGCATGTTACATCCCACCAGGCCAATTCTTACACGTGGTTTACAGTTAGAACCAGTGAGGCAGCTGCAGAGTCCTCACGCTTCTGAAAGGCTTTGAGCAAGACCCGTTAAGAACAAGAAAATCTCCCTGTGGGAACATCCCTGCTAGGCTGCAAACAGCAACCCTGAAGTGCAGCCGAGAACGTTAAATAGAGAAGAAAAAGACAACGAAGTGAGAAATAGGAAGGAAAAGGAACGCAGGGAACCGAGATAAGGAGGAAGCAAGAGAAGAACAGAGAGTGCAACGGCAGCTGGAGGGCAAACTGCAAGGAGAGGTGAAGCCTGGGGACAGTTTGTGACCCCTGAGCCCGGGGCGTGGGGAGCTCTGGGCGCTCCACAAGCAGCTCTCATTTACAGCTCCCGGGGGGCTGCCCG